CTAAGGGGATTGTCAGAGTGCGGAGGCTATTACGACTGGAACGCGACTGCAGGGAACTAGCAGCCAAAGCTCGGCGCTTGAATCTCTTGGCCAATGAACTTGTCCTCACGGACGAATACGAAGACGTGTCTGTATCCCGCATTCAGAGGCGTTGTTATGTCAAATTCGTGAGTAAGTCTGACATCCAGGACGGACAGATACCTTTCACATACAATCGCGGCGGTGCTGGTGATCTCTGGTTTTTGTCTATGGGATTGACTGGCGCGGAAGGCGATCAGAAACTCATCTTTCTGCGAAATCTTCCGAAGACATTCAATGAGGGCCCTGACATGGCTTCTGCTAAATCATTGAGAGGAATGAGTATCTTCAGTGGCGGTGGCTCGCTTGATCGAGGCCTTGAAGAGGGTGGAGCAGTTACCTTTCACTCCGCTGTCGACTTCAGTCCCCATGCCATCCACACTCAGCGAGCCAACTCGAAGAGCCCGGAGACGATGCATCTGTTCTGTGGATCCGTCGATGATCACTTCGACGCAGCTCTCAAGGGTAATAAGCCAGACCTTGTCCCTCAAGTCGGAGAGGTCGACTTCCTTGCTGCTGGATCGCCATGTCCTGGGTTCTCAGCTCTTCAGCATAATATTCTCAGTCCGCAATCCTTGAAGAATGCATCGCATATTAGCACTTTCTGCTCGTATGTAGATCTATACCGCCCTTTGTACGGTATACTCGAAAACGTCGTGAACATGGCTTCAACACGGACTGGATTCGAAGACCAGAACGTCCTGTCTCAGGTGGTTGCTTCTCTAGTCTCGATGGGATACCAATGTAATCAGTACATCATGGACGCTTGGAGTTACGGCAGCGCACAACAGCGCTCACGCCTGATCCTCACCATAGCTGCACCCGGACTTGAGCCAATTGCTCAACCCTGGCACACCCACGCGCGGCCTTACGAGGAGACGGCGGGACGAAGCTTAGGTTATCTACCCAACGGACAGAAATTTGGTGAACGCGAGCACTACCCCACGCCTTTTCCATATGTACCAGCGGTGTCCGTTGATGCGGGATTACCCGACATTGGCAACGGTATTGTCCAGACTTGTATTCCGTTCCCAGACCACCGCTTACCCCAGGTACCAACGCGTAAGCAACGAGCATTGGTCAGATGCATTCCACGACAGCCTCCAGGTTGCGACTACAAAGAAGCAGATAGACGGGGTCTGATTCCGACCTCGCTACGAGATCCGAGAACCGATATTGGAAAGGCGTACCGACGGATCAAAGCAGCGGGACTGGTACCGACTATCACAACCAATATAGTCATTCGAGATTCGCGAAACGGCGCTACATTACATTGGGATCAACATCGGTCCATTAGTGTGTTGGAAGCTCGCCGGACCCAGGGCTACATGGATGAAGAGCCCATCATTGGCTCGCTCCCGGAGCAGTACAAAATTGTTGGCAATGGCGTGGACCGTAAGGTCGCTTTCGCCATGGGTCTTTCTCTACTACAGGCTGTCCAGAAGAACGAGCTAGGGTTTACTGCGAACGGAACGACGCAAAACTCAGCTGAGGTGGTGGACGCAACTAGCGACGCTGAAACGTCACAAATCGAGAAGAGTGTTAAGAAGCCCAGGCCTCAGTCGAAAGCACAGGATACGTCGCCTTCTCAGAAGGAACACCGCCGCAGGAGTTCCGGACCGGTGGTGGTGATACCTGGACGACGACAGACCGATGGCGCTACTTTGACTGTGAACAGTACTCCGGGGCCACCTAGCAGATATGCGAGCGTGCCTAATGGCGCAACTAGCGAACCTTCACAGACTCCACCTGTATCACAACCCAACGCCTCGATTGCCCAGACCACCGGCTTCTTCTCTCGACTTTCCAAATCTCTCGCCGCTGGCGTCGGTCGACTTTCTCTATCGAGCATGTCGACTTCCTCCTCTACCCCGACTTCCGCACCAATCCCCGCGGTGAAACGCAGTCGAGAAGACGATGAAGACCCTTTCGCCCCAGAAAGCCAGAACCGCTCAGCAAGAGAGCGACCCAGGAAACAATCCCGCGTCAGCGCAACGCCATCGGCACAAAACGGGATCAAACTTGAAACAGAACCTCGTAGGAAGAAGTCTGTGTTCTCGCATCGAAGCGGCAGTGTGAGTTCGACGAGCTCGAGTAAGACTCGTTATACTCGTCATTCAGGGTTGTCGGTGGAGTATGTGCCGAAGAATTGGAATAAGAGGGTTGAGGTGGAGACAAGAGGGGTGGTCTTTGAGGAGGAGGTTGTGGATGCTGATTAGTTGATGTGATATGTTGGTGGGAGAGTTGAGGGATGACTTTGGCGATGGAGGATCTTGTTTTGTGGTGGGCTAAGTAGTTGGACCACGCGATGCGGATACCCAATATTCTGGCACAAAGCCGATATACCATAAACTTAATGCGCATGTCTGTAGCTTCCGTTAACACATTGAAATCATAACACCGCCCGCATCCAGCACATCCGTATTTATCTATACGTTGATGACTCCTTCCACATCCGGACTAGTGCGGCTCTATTTGCGCCCGCTGCCGATCTCGCCAAAAATGCGGGACAACTTTTTTGGGGTGGGTAACAACAACGACCAACTCCACGATCCATAGTCAGGAGTCAGCAGAACCAGAAGATGAAATTTACCGAACTGACGGAAATCGAGCTGCCGGCGGCATATGACGCTCATGTACATCTTCGCGATGGCGAGATGTCGCAGCTTGTCACGCCTACGATTCGAAAGGGTGGTGTGAATCAGGTGTATGTTATGGTGAGTTTGGTATATCTTGTATTCCATTCTGGATGCTTATCTCTATCTCCATTTATGTCTCAGTCATCTTTTTCTCCGTCATTCTCGCCTTCTGTCTATACATCTTTCCCGATTTCTCGTCATCAAACTATTTTGGTCACGTTTCTCTAACCCATTATATCACTATCACAGCCGAACTTGGTCCCGCCTATCACTTCCGTGAAGCAATGCCTCGAGTACCGCGACAGACTCCGCGCTATTGAGCCGAATGTAGACTACGTTATGTCGCTGTATCTTCACGAGGATATCACGCCGGAGGTTATTCGTGAAGCGAAGAAAGCGGGGATTACGGGGGTGAAGTCTTATCCTGCTGGTGTTACTACGGTACGTACAGACTGAGACACACTCTCCCAAAGATATGTCAAAGAAAAAAAAGAAGGATAAGAGAGGAAGAGATTGGCAACTCATGTGACAGGCGGACTAACCCCCCACATAGAACTCCTCCTCAGGCGTCCTCTCCTACGAACCCTTCTACCCCGTCTTCGCCGAAATGGAAAAACAAAACATGGTCCTCAACCTCCACGGCGAAGTCCCGTCCACGCCCCCAAACACCCACGTCACCACCACCAAAGACACAAAAACAGGCGCTATAACCATCCTCAACGCCGAACCCGCCTTCCTCCCCACCTTCCTGCTCCTCCACACCAAATTCCCCTCTCTCCGCATAATCCTCGAGCACTGCAGCACATCCGCCGCCCTCTCCGCCGTCCGCTCCTGCGGCCCCTCCGTCAGCGGCACAATCACCGCGCACCACCTCAGCCTGATCATCGATGATTGGGCCGGCGACCCCTTTTGTTTCTGCAAGCCTGTTGCGAAGACGCCTGAGGATAGGGATGCGTTGCTGCGCGCGGTGGTGCAGGGGAATGGGAAGTTTTTTCTGGGGACGGATTCGGCGCCGCATCCGAGGGGGAAGAAGAGGGGGGAGGATAAGGTTGCTGCGGGGGTTTTTACGCAGCCGTATGCGGTGGGGTATGTGCTTGATGCGTTGGAGGTGGGGGTGAAGAGGGGGGTTGTGCAAGAGGAGGAGGTGACGATGGAGGTGCTGGAGGGGTTCTTTGGGGGGTGGGGGAGGGGGTTTTATCAGATTGAGGATGAGAAGAAGGAGAGGATTGTGTTGAGGAAGGGGAAGGAGACGGTGGTGGATGTGTTGAGGAAGGAGGGTGGGGGCGAGTGTGAGGTTGTGCCGTTTAGGAAGGGGGAGGTTACTTGGGGAGTTGAGTGGAAGTGAGCGTTTGTCTGAATCATAACCGTGAGATGAGAGGCTATTATATATGTAGTTTGGCTCGACATCGGTTACAGACATAGTGACAACAGTGGCCATCTCTCCATCTTCAGACATTCCCATTCGGACATTACAATCCTGTCCAGTATGCTGAGTTTGCTGCTAGGTCAAGCGGAAAAGGGCGGTGAAAAGTGAAAGGGCAATATATATCTGCGGTTTGAAATGCTTGTGCAGACGAAGACTTCGTTCTTCTGTATGCTGTAACACACGAAACCAAAGAGTTGTGCATACGACATCAAGTTCTGTAGCAGATATCTCCAACATTTTAACGCCATACTATGCCTACATTAATGTCATGCCACTAGTATCCATCGCGCCTTAATGCCACAATACGCCTACATCACGCACTGCCCTTACTCTATACATCTCCCATCTCCCACATAGCTGTTAACCTCATTCCTTACATATCCCATACGAATTCCAACCCCAATGTCACCGTCACGCTCACTTCCGCTCTCACATCCAGCTCCTCGCTCCTCGCTCTCTGCCAAACTCACGGTGAACGTGAGCAGTGAGCCGCACTTTTCACCGCCAAGACAGCAGCGAGCGTTTGCACCCAGGACGCCCATAACAAAAGTTTTCATGCCGCCGATTTTTAAGCTTCTTCAGCAACACACGCTGACTACACTCGTAAGTATCCTTTCTTTTTGTTATGGCGTTCATGGCTTTGCGGATTACATGGGCTGCGGCAGCCCGATTCCCTTTCCGAATCCTACTCCCTACCGCCTACATCACCCCCAGCATGGCACTTCCCTTCCTGTATCTTCCTCTCTACCACCTACATCACCCCCAGCACCTCAATTCCCGTCTCTCATAGTCCTCCCTACCGCCTACATCACCCCCAACCCCTCCCCTCCCACCCCCAAGCTAACCACACAGTCACCATGACCACCCACACCACCACCACACTCCTCGCCTTCACGGCAACGTCGCCGGCATGGCCCGCCACGCCCTCCCTCACCACCATCAACCTCGGGCGCGACATCGCCATGGAAGTCCTCGCCATAGAGGCACACCAGCACCGCCTTCGGGCACATCAGAACCGCCTTCGGGCACTACAAGAAGGAGAGGCTACGGCCAACGAGCTCAAGGAGCTCGAGACGATTTCCGGTGAGTTGTTGCTTTGCGTGCAGCGATTTGAAGCGCTTTTGGAGAGATGGGATGGGGAGGTTTTGGGGAAGGGGGTGGAGGAGGATGAGAGGGAGGAGGAGATGGAGGAGGGTGAGATGGAGGAAGGAGAGGTGAAGGAGGACGAGGTGAAGGAGGATGAGATGGAGGAGGAGGACGACGACGACGATTCGCCGCCTCGCGAGCGAAGGAGGTTCGAAAATTCGCCTTCCCCTTCGCCCGAGTACATGCGCCGTCCGGTCGTATACCAGGACTACCAGAACGTCCAGGGCATCGACCCCAACGCCATCAGCGTAGGCGACATCGGATGGGCGCCACTCCCGCGCATGGCAGCCACCTCCCGCGCCACCCACATCCCGTCGCAGTACGGCCAAATCGTCATCAAGGTCTACCCATTCATCATCGTCAAGAAGATGAACGACTGCATGATTGGCGTGGTCATCTCGTCTGCCGGCGGCAATGGTCTCCGCTACAAGCAAGACTCGCTGCGGGCGCGCAGTACGTGCGTCGTTGAAGAGGGTTGCCGGGGGCCTGCCAACGTCTCTTATGGTTGGGCCATGGGGCCCCGTCTGGATCTAGAGGTGGATGGGACGAGTGCGTATAGGCCTCTCCCTGGTGCCTTTGTGGACGTGTTGGACAGCCACCAGATCCCGTACAACACGAGGTGGAAGGCGGACGGGCGCCTGACGCATGTGAGTAAGGGGAATTTGTGGAAGATGAGGTTCGCGCTGATGAGGGCGGAGCCGCTGGGGGTTTGATCTGGGGACTACGGGCATGTGTTGAGGCGTTTTGTATATTAGTATGAGGCAGCGTGATGGTCTTCGCGTACTTTTCACCCTGCGAATTGAACCCGTATCCTGCCATGTATGCTTTATCTACCTTTTTGCCATATCCCTGCACACACCCGTGACTCATTGTAGGTCCCAGCCCTATTATCCACACATCCTATATAACTCTGCCGCTTCTTGTAGTTCCCTAAAGCTCTTGCAATCCGCTATAATCTTCTGCTCAGATTCGGGCCAGCCATTCTCGTTCACCATCTTTATAATCTCTTTGGACCGCTCACGTTCTTCCAAGCCGACGAGACGCGGAAGAGGAGAAGCACAATGTGCTAACAGAGTATCGACCTGTTCGCGGATCTCGTCACTCAGCACAATGGTATCGACTAGCATCTGTCCCTCTGTTGACGCATTGTGACACCGGGAGTCTATGTCGTTTGATCCAGCGTGATGGTCTGAGTTCCTGCATACTCTTACGACCCAGATGAAGTTATGGTATATTCGCTGGATTGGTTAGCTCAATGTGATAGGTACAGGGTTTCACGTCACTTACATTAAATTCCACTCGGTCTCCCTCTTCATAGCGCAACCAACACTCGCCGACGGCTTCGATACCCATGCTTCTGCCAGTGTGTGCAGGTTTCCATTCGTTAAGCCTGTAAATAGGGTAGAAGTCTCGACGCAAAATTATCCCACGGTTTTCAGGCACATTCTCTGTCGGTTCAGTAGTGCCGTACCACCACGCTGCATCTACCTTCCGTAAATTTTCGATCCGATCGTGTGGCTTGTAGCTCAGCTTTCCGGGTTCTTGGGTAGGATAGCTTTCGGTACAGATACCTGTTACGCCTGCAACGTTGAGATTTCTGCTCGCCCTATGAACAGGATCACAGATATGAACAATCACAGGCCTTGTAGTAGCTATGTCTTCTTCCGTGTTTGATGGGTCGGTAATGAAGTCTGGGTCGCCAATCGTTGCAGTTGTAGAATGATTAGTCCTCATGCTTGCATTGTCGAAATCGGTATTCGGTCGCCGGCTCATAGCTGCGTTAGAAGCTTTCTTGTATACTCTGGAGTTCGAGAGGACAGATTCGAAGTGTTGTTCGGATGAGCTGTCAGTAGGACCGACAAGCGTTGAGAGATTGCTCAAGAGACTATCGGGGGAATCTTCGGTTTTGAATGTAGACTCCGCCACTGTGAGGGCATAAGCCTTTCGCATATTTTGGGTGTGTTCGTTCATTGTTAACATCGTCTTGCTTTGTTCTTTTTCCTGAAGGGGTTTCTTTCTCTCGGTCGAAGAATCCCTGCTAAATTCAGTCGGCCATTCATAGCTGTAGCTGTACGCTATATGGAGACTTTGTCTTCACTCACCTGTTCAGCGGGCCGATCAACATGTTGATCGCAGTATGGTTTTGATGCAGTCGTTCCAATAAGTCCTTGGCTTCATCCTCATTCCACAGAGTCCAAAATTTGGCTTTCGAGCTCATGCTACCATCACCGTGGACGCCCTTCATGATCTTCGACACGTACTTCCCGAGGCATACCCCCAGCACGAGAGAGCTATTCAGAGTCGTATCGAGCGTATCGACCAAATCTGCGTCCGCGTGCACAGCATTCGTTTCGTCAAGAAGTAGTGCCTGCAGCCGCGAAAGTAAGGTCCCATTGAGTTTGAGCTGGGAACAGAGGAATCGCACGGTAACGGGCGCGTGCTTCCATTTGTTCCATATGTCGTTCAGGCCTTTGGCAGCTCCGAGGAAAGTCGTAATGATCCGGAGCTAAAAGTATGGTTAGCTTGACAGCTTCAAATAGGCCCCGGTTTTGCTAAACATACCACATTCGTTGCGATGCTCAAGGGATCCATCTTGCTCGCTGCGAAACATGCGAGTTGAACGGGTGCGTCGGAACAAGGCTGGTGTTATAACCTAGCGATGAGGTACAAGAGCGTCCCAATTGCCAACAGAATGAGAAAGAGGCTTTCAGCTGCAGCCTGCTGTTTGATGTGTGGTTCCATTATCTGCAAACTTCTGTCATCATCTTTGTGTTTATTCCCATGTGCGTGCGGACATCGGGATCCTGTCGTAAACGTCAAGTTGACCTATCGCACTTACATCACACGGCGCAAAAAGCCGTGGCTTTTGAACATTTTGTGAATTTCTGAAATACCTACTATGCCATACGGAATAGCATGTTTACCTTCCAGCACCCTTCGATAGAATGCATGACTGCTACCATCATTACATAATTCTTCCGTGATTCATACCTCACGGCACTAACGAGACAAAACCTTCCAGCCAGCGACATGGCCTCTGCGGATAAGGTTTACATCAAGTTGTCCGTCGCCAAAGCCCTGGGCTGGCCGAGTTCTAACCTCCCTTCCTAGGGGCGTTGGGCACAGCAACCGGAGCGCGAGCCGCCCCACCCGCAGAAGCGCCCTTCTTACGCTGGTAAAAGGCTTCGACGACCTTGCGAACGTGAGCCTTAGCCTGGTGCTTGTCGGCGGGTGCTTTGATGCTGTCGAGCGTGTACGGGGCCTGGATGAGGACGGAGTCGTTGACGACGATCTGCGTATCTGCCCACCGAGTTGGTAGACTGTGGTTCGTATGTTAGCCCTGTTATGCTGTGTTTGCCAGATCTGATATGACTCACGTCCTCGAAATAGCATCGAACAACTCCTGCGCCTCAGCACTAACGCCCTTGCCCTTCTGCATATCCTTCTTCTTCATCTCGCGGATAGTTTGGTCTTCGCGGGCTTGTAGCGCGGCTAGATCCACCTTGGAGATGCTGGGGAGTGCGCCATCGAAACCCGCTGCGGACTCTGCTACGCGCTCTCCTGTGCCGATGATCTCGAAGGACTCAATGTGTGCGAATGGGATGATGTGGTAGTCGCCGGGCTGGCTGAATAAGGAGGCGGGGGAGGGGTTCGGTGGAGCGGGCGCCGTGTTGATGGCTATGGCGTGGGTGAGGTTGCAGGCCGTGAAGAGGGTGCCCTCGAGGACGTTCTTGCCAGGGGCACATGTGACTTTGATGCTGGGAACTGTCAGCTACCATCCCAGCGGTGATACCTTTTCGACGAGCGGAACGTACCGTGACCCAACAGCCTTGTACAGATCGGAATCCGCGCCAATGACATCTTTGTTCGATCCAGGGCCGGCTTTTAGGTTCGGAGTCGCAACCTTGCCCGCAACGCTATTGCGCTTGTTGTCCGCCATGACGGTCCTGCTCTTGTGTGCCTTTGTCTAGGCGACTTGGGTATTACGGGCGGCGGAGGCTAACGTGTTGCTCCGCTACAATTGGGTCTCGTCAGCACCTAGTCCCTGCCCAGATTCTACGACGGAGGACCTAACGCCAGAGACTCATACAAGCAGTGAATATACAATCCAAAGGAATGAAAGAAATGAAAACGCGACGACGCACGCGCAACCGGGTCGTGGGGCAGCGCTGGCGTGGCGGAGCTGGCGGAGCGCGAGGCGGGTGGGTTGATGTTGTCGTGATGCGCTGCAACTTTCCGTGGTCGCGATGCCAAGCCTTTACGCAGGGCGCTTGCCGCTGGGCCAATTATAGAAGGTGTATGGTGTAGGCCTTGGAGACGCTTCCGTCCCGAGTGTATCCTGATTGCTGGGAAGCCGATGCGCGTGCGACCTCGTAACAATGTTCAATTCATAGTGGGGTGGCTCGTCAAGGGTCTACCTGGAGGTACGCGACGATCAACGCTAACTGCAGCTAGCGTACGAGTAACAACACAGCGGTCAAGCTGAGCTTCATACATTCACCGGCACATGCAAGTATTGGACATGCGAATCGTTATATTCATTCTAGATTCGAGGTATCTCAATTTTCACGTTCGTCATAAAACATGAACTCGGGGCAGCCCTCTGCTCCCGTCTAACAAGCAATGGATATCCCCTTTTTAAGCGTTGTAGGTCTGGCAACTTGTTAGTGTCTTCTAAATGATCAATGTGCGTGAAACTTACAGAAGCAGAGATGTTACCACCCCTTCCGGTCCAGTTGACGTGGATGTCCTGGCCCTCCTTGTAGGTCTCGTTGGCGAATTCGGGCTTGATCCTGAAGGTGTGGGCACCGAAGTAGTCACGCTGCGCCTGCAACAGGTTGGCGGGCAGGTCCTTGGCGCGGTATCCGTCGTAGAAGCTGAGGGCGGTGCTGAAAGCAGGGGTGGGAATACCCCAGAGAGCACCCTTGGAGACGGTGTCTCTCCATCCGGACTGGGCCTTGTGGATAGCCTTGCTGAAGAAGTCGTCGAACAGCAAGTTCTCGAGCTCGGGGTTCTGGCGGTAAGCCTTGGTGATCTCCTTCAAGAAGACGGAGCGGATAATGCATCCACCGCGCCACATGAGGGCAATCTCGGGCTTGTTCAGCTTCCACTTGTACTCCTTGGCGGCGTTCTGGATCAGCATGAATCCCTGGGCGTACGAGATGATCTTGGACGCGTAAAGAGCCTGCTCGAGGTTGTCGATGAAGGCCTGGCGGTCGCCAGAGAAGCTGGGGGTGGGGCCGTCCAAAAGACCGGCGGCACGGCCACGCTCCTGCTTGAGCGAACTCAGGCAACGGGCGAAGACGGCCTCTCCGATCAGGGTAACGGGCATACCGAGGTCGAGCGCGTTGATGGCGGTCCACTTTCCGGTACCCTTCTGACCAGCAGAGTCCATGATCTTCTCAACGATAGCAACACCATCGTCGTCGTTCTTGTACATGATGTCACGGGTAATCTCGATCAGGAATGAGTCGAGAACGCCCTTGTTCCATTGTGTGAAAACGTCGCCAATCTCCTTGTTGCTCATGCCGAGACCGCGCTTCATGATGTCGTAGGCCTGTTTCTGTCAGTCGCCTCTTTCTTTCTGTATGATCGTCTCGTCTCACCTCGCAGATCAACTGCATGTCACCGTACTCAATACCGTTGTGGACCATC